CTATTACAACACTCTACTGAGAATGACATAGGCCTACAGACAGATGCACATCTCTTATACTATTACAATGTGTACATTCCACTTTCTTTGTTAGTACCACGTTGCCTGAATCAGCCAGGAAAACCAATAGCTATCAGTAACATAACCACACAATGGTGTCAGTGAACAGACGTCAGCACACATTGGTGTCAGTGAACTGACGTCAGCACACAATGGGGTCAGTGAACAGACGTCAGCACACATAAATGGAGAGGAATAGGGCACAGTTGTGTTGTATGCGCTCTGTACTTTTGTCTCGATGGTACCGAGTTCGAACCCTACCCCGCCGTCCTGTGGTTTGGCTAAACATCAAATCTGAAGGAACATCTGAAACATGTCAAACAAACAAAACAAAACAGGATTCCTGTTCAGGTCTCAAATGGAACCGAATTCTTTGCACTGAATGGACTATTTTATGGTATAAAGATAGAAAGGTTTCCCCGGGTGGCTCGCCCTTTAGCCGAAGTGTCTTAGGTTTAGAGCCCTCGGGAAAAAATGGTGTAACGAATTTGCATCCGCTTAGAACCCCTACACTTTCCATCAGACTTATAAATCTAGTATTAACTTTTTGCTATGTGAAATCTTAATTTGAATGCTCTCCCCTTAAAAAAAAACAAGCTAAAAAACGTTGTCAACTTTTGATGTCAAATTCATTTAAAAAAAAAACCCACATACTTTGACAGTTCAAAGAAACGATCATATTAAAATGAAATCAAAGATTAGAAATACAGATATATAATAATAGATCGAGAGATTGTTAGATTATAGTTCCTCTTACCTTCTGTTTCACCATTGTAGTGTATTGTAAACATATTTCCAGTGACTCACCACTAAGACTACAAATCAATGTTTATGAACTCACACAAAGACAAAAATGGACTGACAAGATTCGTAGAATGTGATTTCTGCCAAATAGTTTCTCAGCTTCCATCGTTAGGAGGGCATCAAGGGGAGATAATATCGTCGTCTGACAGGCACACTTAGATTTGAAATAAAAAATAAATACATTTTAAAAACTATTTGGTAACATACTTTTGATCGAGCACACCAAAAGGGAAAAATAAGTTAAAAAGTTAAAATTAAAAGCAAAATAAATACAAATGTGCAATAGTAGAATAAACATGTGTATTTGATTCATTAAAAATTTTAGGCAGCAGTAAGACTCGAACTATTGGCATGGATCACTCGGTCACGCTGCCATTAAGATAGACTAAAAAAAACATACAATATACACATCTAATTGATTTAAAGAATATACCTAAATTTCCCGTTATTAAAAATCCCAGAAACAACAATCAAGTGGGTTATCTTTCTTTTTTACAAATAATGTATCGTTTTGTTTATTTATTGTATGTGTTTACTACAAACGAAACAGTTTATAAAGGTCTTGATGATAAGAGCTTTAAAAAAACTTATAATTAAAATAAACAAATCTTGTCATTTATTAATCACACAGACACACACACCTTTTTTTCTATAGTTCACCGTCTGGTAAGTGTGATCGAGTGATCTATGGCGTTAGTTCTATGCGCAAGTTTCTTTCTTGGCGTGGGTTCAGATCATAAAACCGCAGTAGCTTCAGTTCAATCGAAATCGACAGTTTTATGGGACGATTTCTCGCACGTAAGAATTTAAGACCGAAATTAAGGCATCACTTAATAATCAAAATACAAAATTTGGGGATAAAATTATATATATAAAATTATACATATATATATGGCTCCTTTTGTCTCGAAAGGCAATGGATGCGCCCAAATGATTCACTAGTTTTGGCTTAATCTTGAGACGGGCAGAATCTGGTGTGGCTAATCAAGCCAATTCTAGAACGGCAGACTTTGCCACAATTCGTACATGTGTATGTCTCTGATTTAGGGCTAGCGGACAGGGCAGCTTTCTTTTTTTCTCTCTTGATTAAGGCCGCTTCAATATATATATATATCAGTTGACTGGGTGCCTATGTTCGTACCACTCTATAGTAGTTTGATACTAGAAGATACAACTCTGTCTCAATCATCAGAATTCGAATAGGCTTAAATTTGTTTACAAGTGCATCATCATGAGAAGTGACAATTATTATTTGCTGTCAAACTTATTATAGTTAGATAAGGAAAGGTACATTTAAGACTAGTGTTTTACAAGTGTCTAAAGCAAATATACTCGGGGCTGTTAGTATGTAGGGCTTAGTCAGTTTACTTTGAGTCTTGTGACCCGGTCAGAACATTTGACATCTTGTGACATGGCCAGAACATTTGACATGGTCAGAACATCTGACATCTTGTGATATGGTCAGAACATTTGACACCCTGTGACATGGTCAGAAAGTCTGACATCTTGTGACATGGTCAGAACATCTGACGTCTTGTGACCAGTCATTATTTATTGATTTGCTTTCTTTACACAGTAATGTCTTTCCTAGTTCACGCGTTGAACCTTGAACTTTAAAAAGTCGTGAAAATCACTCAAAAATAAGGTGACATAGTTTCTAGAAGTAAAATGAGGCTCTGGATAAACGTATAAGCAGGGGCGAACTGAGTGTTAAAGTCGGTCCTGGCTTGGAGTGTGCCTTAAGATGGGCTTCCATTCGTATCTGATCTCATAATAGTTCAAGTTGGATAATGCACTGACAGTTGGACGCATGCCTGGGTTGTTTTTTTCATCGTATTCTATTTTTCAATGTAAGTCTGTAGACTTCGAGCTTATCTACATTCATCAGCCTGAATTGAAGTCAACCTTCATCAGTCAGTGTAAAAGCCGCTGTCACTTTTGTGTGTTTCCTCTGTCCGTCTGTGTGCCTGTCATGTTTATAACACACACACACACACAAAGAAAAAATATTGAAAATATGATTTCTCTTTTGGGCAAAAAATTAAATGAAATATATTGAAAATTCTCAATATCAATAGGCTGTTCCAGATTTTTAAAGTTAAAAACATATTAAGGCCAAATGATGTCTTGAAATCGCTCTACTGACTGTCCTAGTATCCTTGAAGTAAAGTAAGATCTTCATATAACATGTAGACCTAGCTGTATTGAAGTAAAGTAAGATCTTCATATAACATGTAGACCTAGCTGTATTGAAGTAAAGTAAGATCTTCATATAACATGTAGACCTAACTGTATTGAAGTTAAGTAAAATCTTCATATAACATATAGACCTAACTGTATTGAAGTAAAGTAAGATCTTCATATAACATGTAGACCTAACTGTATTGAAGTAAAGTAAGATCTTCATATAACATGCAGACCTAACTGTATTGAAGTAAAGTAAGATCTTCATAAAACATGTAGACCTAACTGTATTGAAGTGAAGTAAGATCTTCATATAACCTATAGACCTAACTGTATTGAAGTAAAGTAGGAGTTGCATTGAGTAGTCTTAGCTATGACGAATTCTACCATTTTAGGACAACATATAGAGGTCTGTGGTTCATTCCTAGGCGCACCATTCTGAGATAATCTACTAGAATCAACTGACTCTGGAAACAAAATGTTGTGTAGATCTAGGTCTTTTCTTGGATGACATTGAGTAAGGCAATGTTGTAATGTTCTAATATTCTAAGAGTAACAAGTTTAACATTTCGTTTCGGTCTAATCAACGGGCTTTCTTTTCTTTTGTGCCAGTTTTTATTCAACTTAGTTTCAGGCCAATTTTTTTTTTTACAGACGTTGACTACGTGTGTGTGTAGACCTACGTGTGTGTGTGTCTGTTAGTGAGGTGTAAAAATACTCAAGGGAATTGCTTTTTTTTTTTAATGGAAAAGGTAAATGCAGTTGTCGTCTTTCCACCTGCTTACAATTAGGAAATCGATCAAATGCACTTTTTTAGAGCAAACTTAAGCCAGGATTGCTTTTTTTTTTCTCAAACTTACTGCAGGCGTGCAGGTGATCAATGCTGATGTAATATGCCAGGTTAAATACATTGAGTTCCCGCAAACCTGATGCGTTATATCTAACAAGATTCGGCACTAAACAAAGACTGGTCACAGAGTCTAATATTGTTCATGTTTTACCTAGTCACTTCATGTTTTCTCTGGTTACAGTATGGTACTTACCTAGTCACCTCATGTTTTCTCTGGTTACAGTACCGGTATAGTACTTACCTAGTCACTTCATGTTTTCTCTGGTTACAGTATGGTATTTACCTAGTCACCTCATGTTTTCTCTGATTACAGTATGGTACTTACCTAGTCACATCATGTTTTCTCTGGTTACAGTATGGTATTTACCTAGTCACCTCATGTTTTCTCTGATTACAGTACGGTACTTTCCTAGTCACCTCATGTTTTTTCTGGTTATAGTATGGTACTTACCTAGTCCAGAACTGGACTTAAGATACTTAATACCAAAAACCCTCGGACGTATTTTACATTCTAGAATAACTGTGAACATATTTAAGGAAACAAAGATTGATCACAAATGAGAAAGGTCACGCATTGGAATACTTTTTCCCCTATAGCAAAGTGCTAGAATTGAGTATTAAATTGTAGACTCGCCTAAGTTGACTTAGTTGACTAGGGAATCAGTTGTGGCAACATAATGTAAGGAACAGTAAAGAAAATAAAAGGTCTAATAGTCTTTTTTCCAGCTAAGATAATTGTAACTCATAGTGTTTCTCTCCCTTTTGTAATAGAACGGGAAGTGATGCCTGCATTAAAGGTAGACAACTGTGTGTATAATGTGTAGAAACTCTTTAAACAATGTGAAGACAACTGTGTGTACAATGTGTAGAGACTGATTGTACAATGTGTAGACAACTGTGTGTACAATGTTTTGACAACTCTGGGTAAAGTGTGTACAAACTGTGTACAATGTGTAGAAACAATTAATAGAACATGAAGGATGCCTGCATTAATGTGTATACAAGTCTATGCAAAATGTGCAGGCAACAATGTCTCCAGTGTACAATGTACAGTATTGCTATTGACAAAACCTGAGGATAAAAATTTTTAAAAGTCAAAGAAAACTATATAAGTTTTTATTTCAAAACCTATAAAAAAAATAAAGTGTGTATGTCATGAATCACAAAATTAGATATTGAATTTCAAATAAAATAACTGTTATCTAATTACTATGCAGCAAGTCTGAGACCATATTTAAGTAGCTGCAGAATTTTACAAAGCTTCTTAGGGAATATATTCACATTGGCATATAACCTTAAAAAAAATGATCATGATAATTTACATTGACCAAAGTTTTTATGAATCAATAAAACTTCTGAGAACAATAAACATATCACAGGGAAATAGTGAGAATGTACACATGTGATGGGAGATAATCGTTGTCCACAAGGAACTCTCGAACAAGATTAGAAGTAAATGATCTTATGTAAACTTAGGGACGTAGTGCTAGAAACTAGTTATGTAAACTTAGGAAAGTAGTGCTACAAACTAGTTATGTAAACTTAGGAAAGTAGTGCTACAAACTAGTTATGTAAACTTAGAGAAATAGTGCTACAAACTAGTTATGTAAAATTAGGGAAGTAGTGCTACAAACTAGTAATGTAAACTTAGGGAAGTAGTGCTAGAAACTAGTTATGTAAACTTAAGGAAGTAGTGCTACAAACTAGTTATGTAAATTTAGGGAAGTAGTGCTACAAACTAGTTATGTAAACGTACAGAAATAGTGCTACAAACTAGTTATGTAAACTTAGGGAAGTAGTGCTAGAAACTAGTTATGGAAACGTAGAGAAATAGTGCTAAAAACTATTATGTAAACTTGGGGAAATAGTGCTACAAACTAGTTATGTAAATTTAGGGAAGTAGTGCTACAAACTAGTTATGTAAACGTACAGAAATAGTGCTACAAACTAGTTATGTAAACTTAGGGAAGTAGTGCTAGAAACTAGTTATGGAAACGTAGAGAAATAGTGCAAGAAACTGTTGAAATGGGGTGACTTTGCTTCAAGGGGTGACTTTGCTAACTCACTACTAAAAATGTGAAAGGCTTTAAAAACATTTTTCCTGAGTTGTTTCCCATGAATTTTCATTTAAATATAAAAGAATATAGGTTGGTGTTTAGAAATGATACTTCATTTCTTCTGTAAATAGCAAAACATGGCAGATACACGTTTTGACTCAGGACCTTCAATTTCACTAATTTCAGCTGTTTTATGTGAGTTACAACTTTAGTTTAGATCTAATAGAATGTTAGCTAATAAAATGAACTTATGCATTTTTTTAGTTGTAATTTGGTTTACAATTATGAAGGGAAGTTGTAATTAAATAATTTCTTAACAGGTTTTATGCCTAAGTTAGAGGCAAAGTCACCCCCTTATATATGTTGCATTTTTTCTTTCAGATAGTCATGCTAACAGTGTCCAAAAAGAAGCTGAGCTGACATAAACATAAAGATAATGATGTAGAAACTTTATTAAAGCTATGGAAGAGTGAAAACACAAACAGGGATGAGCAGAAATTCAGCTTACGTCATTTCATGGACAAGACATGATATCAGTTCATTCACAGTGGGTAAATATGGCTCCATACAGAGCTACATTACAAGGACAATTAAACAAAAGTAGGTTCATTATAAAAAGAAAAACTACATCTACAGAGCACATTATCAGTGGCAAAATTTCTTTGACCGGAATTATTTAACAAGAGATCTACTTTTCACAAAACACAGAGAATTCAGATCCCAGGATGCAACACTTTGTAACCGGACTCTTATGATAACCTTCAGACACTTTTTAATAACACAAATTTGATTGTCAATTTCAAAAACAAAATTGTTAAACAAGGTTACATAGCTACTTCCTGGTAGGGTGAGTAAGGATGATAAAACCATGACACTTGATAGAAACAAATAAATTTAGTGGAAAATGAAATATTAAATTTTCAGACTTGTATATTTTAAGTGGAATGTACGACCCTCACCTACAGTAAGGTTAAGTTAATAGAAATTTTTTTTTTAAATATACCTATGACAGTTCAACATTAGCAAGTCCACAGAACTAAATGTTCAACAACTACAAGTAACTGACATTCCAACAGGAGATAAGGTATACATATAAAAAAAACAAAATGTTAACATTTTTACTTGTTTTTTTAATACAACTTAAAAAAAAAAAGGTTAGAGACAGAGGTTTGGATAGTCACTCTTCTGTGTTTCAAGTCATAGGACTGACTTCAAAAGTAATGTAATATGAGCAGAAATATTGACATTAACATAGATATTGCAGGGAATAGAGGGCCTTACATTTGTACAAAGTAAATTTCAATACAAAGTAGCCCAACAAAATGATTCTAACAGAGTATTGATTCCCAGGAGTGAAATAAATTGATCAAACTTTTTTCTTAGACAAATGAAGAATGGATAGTACACAAGACCAAATGAAAATTGAAATTTGTTGGGGCTTTTCTTTTTTTTTATGACTAAATTATTTCAACATTAAAGTCTACACAGAAGTATGAAATCATTTTTTTTACTGATAATTGAAAAAATATATACTATAGCTAATAAATAATTTTAAAAAAAAAGTTATTATAATTCATATCAATGCCATTTAGAAAGTGGATAGTTTAAATTGATAACCATACTATTGACCAAGATATCCTTTATTTCTGCATGACGCGTAGGACGTAATCATCTTCTTTTTTGAAGTAACGTCTGTATTATATATACTAAATGTTTTTATAATGTTCTATATCACCTATGTCAAGTAATTCTCAAGTAACTCTTTAGCAGTGTTTTTATAAACAATAAATATATTTGCAAAATATTTTCATAAAAACTTGTAAAGAAGTCGAATAACATTATAAAGAAGTCAGAAGTGATTACAATATGATTTGAATTTAGAAGTAATAGCAATAAATTTTGGAGTTAGAAGTGATTGCAATATGTTTTGAAGTTAGAAGTGATTGCAATAAGTGTTGAAGTAAGAAGTGATTGCAATATGTTTTGAAGTTAGAAGTGATTGCAATATTTGTTGAAATAAGAAGTGATTGCAATATGTTTGCTCATGCTATTTCTATGAAACTAAACTATCTAATAGAGGAAATAAATAAAAAGCCAAACTAGGTCATGGAAGTTGTTTCTAAAGGGGAAACAAAATGTGCATATTGACACCTTTAGAATTAATTTCTGGAAACTATGAATGTGAGCATTTTAAAGAATAAGTTGACAATAGTACAAATTAAATGAATAATAAAAAAAAATTAATTGCTTTTTTGTCCAACACAAACAGTAATTAAACATAATTTTAAAAATAAAATGTATAGGTAGCTTGATCATTACAATCTTTACAAAGTTGAAAGACAATTTGATGTAGGTATTATATTAGAAAATATCTAGAAGTCAAAATATCAACAATAGAAGTATATTAAAAAAAACACAATATCAACATTAAAAGTATAAAAGACAAATGACCACACAATTATTTGTAATACATTCACTACACTTGATTCAAATAAACATTTGTGAAGTCAGAACAGATAATGTCTTGTTGCTTTATGTCAAACACCAGATAGAAAGAATTAAAAATAATGCACTTCTTAGAGAAACAATTTCTACCAGGTTGTATCAGAGTGAAGCCAGTTTTTCATAAATTGTGAAGTATTTGGTTTTATGAAAGAGATTTGACAGCAGTATGCTTTAATCTTTAAACTGAATCTTTTTTTAAGTGGATGTTTCATTTATTTTTTTTAATGAATATTTGACTTGAGATTTACTTTACCTTGAAAATATTGTAAAAATGTTTGATTTGAGACTTTACCTTCAAGATATTACTAGACCAGTGGTGAGTGTCGACTGTGATGAAAATTTTTAAAATATTTTGAACAGCTAGAGTTTTGAAGCTATAATGCTTTTAAAGGGAAACTCCGAAGTTTTTCAAATTTGAGTTATTGACATATTAAAATTCTGCGTGAAAAGTTTTAATAGTAAACATTTTACCATTTTGTATTTAATTGTATTTAAATGCTTGGTAACATTTATATTTAATAAATTAGTCAGTAAATTCTTGACATCTCAAAAAAACGAGATTCTTTGAGATTTTGTTTTAAGCTATTTCAAACGTCACTTCCCTCAACAATACTGAAAGAGAAACTACATTTAACCAATCGTATCGCTTCTTTCTTACAGTAGCTCTTAGGCTTAGTGACGGCCTAGTCCAGATCTATGATACAGTTATATATATATATATATATATAAATAGATCTAAAAGGATTGGATAACCAACTCGAGAAAAAAAGTAACATTTTCATCTAAGCCTTTCCCTGTCCCAAGAAGTAAATAGATCGTGTGTCTGACTGATTCGAACAAACTGGTCAGTGTAAGGCTAGTCAAAACTATGTGTAGTCGGTCATGACAAGACAACCAAGCGATAGTGTTTGTTGTGTGTTCAGTGGTCTGGCGAGAAAATACACACTGCCGTGGTTAGTTAAGCATGTAAATCTACTTTTAATGTGCATTTTTTTCTTTGCATACAAGATCCTACATCTAACTGCATAGTTGAAGATATATTTCTTTTACCAGAATGTAATTTTTGCTGTATCGTCTCCTGTTTTACAGAAGTCAATAGATTAAATTAAACGTATTTGTGATGTCACATAGAAAACCCGGTGAAAGACTGACTGTTTTGGATGCGCAGGAAAATTACGTTGGAAAAACATCAATTTCTAAGTTATTATTGCAAATAAAAAAAAAAAAGGAATAATATATTCATTATCTGTAAATCAAAATATATATTATATCAAAAATTGTCAAAACCATCGGAGATTCCCTTTAAGCTAGTAGACTTATTTCTGACAATATTTATTTGGGGTAAAATCATTAAATTTAATTAAAATCAAGTACAGCAATTTAACAAAATGAGAATTTGTTGACAAAATGCAATTGACCAGACCATTGCTAATTAATTTAATTGATTAACTATAAGTTGGTATCGCAATATTTTAATTAACATCAACATATCAGTAAACCAAAACTGAAATGGCATCATTAAAAATAAAAATATCTTCAAATCAATACAGTAATACTTTAGCAGTGAAAAAATCCAGTCAATGACAGAAATATTTAAAAATTAATCCACAGGCAACATTTTGGCAGCTACACAAATGAACAGATTTTAAAACTAACTCAATTCTTAAAAGAATTCACAATGTCTTTAATAGCAGAGTATGTGCCAGTGAAACAGCCTACTAGTCCAAGGAGAAATATCAATATATTCTTTACTACAATATACCAAGGGAGGTGTTCATCCTCTGCTGACAGGGTCACAATCTCAATGATGGCTGGTAGTATCAGGGCAAGTGATGTACTTAGAAATGCTCCAATCAAGGAAATAAGTAAATCAAGATGTGGGATGGCAGCAGCAAAGCCAACTAAAAAAAAAAAAAAAAGTCATTTCCTTTAGAAATCAAGACAAGACTAAATGGTTTCAGTTGAATGAGTCAAAAGTGCACAGAACTGAAGAAAACTGCTGATCATTATAATCAGAACT